AAGGACAAGGGCTGTTTGCACATCGTCCGGCGCCAGGCAGCCCGGGGGCCGTTGGGCCCCGGAGCCCTCCACTGTCCGGATTGCAGGCCCTCTCCTCACTCTGCCAGAACTGCTCCTGCCCCTCAGCTCCTCAAAGGTGTCACACCCACCATGAAGGTCGGAGCTAACTCTGCGTTACCACTGAAATCCAGGGCATCAGTGCGTGAACTCACCATGGGGAGAGTGAGGCGGAGATGGACAGACAGCAGCCAAGCCAGAGTCACTTCGCGTTTCCCAGTGCGCCTACGGGAGCCGGGCGGAGGCAGGAGCAGGCCGTGGCAACCCAGGAAGCAGGGCCAGTGCCCGAGTCCAAGTAGACGACACAGAAGTTAGTGGGACACACCGATGGCGGCTCCTTGGCTTTGATGTGGCCTTGTTGTCATGGCGATAGAGGTTTCCATTTGCTACGGGGTCTTTTTTTTTTTCCATAAGTACTGGTTTTCTTTGGGCTTGTTTGTTTGGTGTTTTGTTGTTGTTGACTTTGTCTTTTTTTTTTAATTTTTCAGAAATAAAGGGTATATGGTCAAGACAGGGATAAAGGGGAAGGATAATAAATCTTCGGGGTCGGAAAAAAGGGAGAGGCTAGTTGGGGGGGCGGGGGGGCACTTTAACGTTTGCAGCAACATAACAGGTTAGACAAAGTCGAGCTGGCCCTGGGAGACTGGTCTTTGACTTTGTCCTTCTTCTTCCTGCTCCAAAAGGTACTCTTTTGTTGCCCGGTTGCTAAATTGTTAAGCAAAGGGAGGAAAGATAAAAAACACAGAAAATAGCAAGTGAATGCATTGAATAATGACCAATGACGCTACGTTCACTAAATGTACTTGGACTATCAGAATCCTGTCCGGCCCAGGAGAGATGCCACATTCCCCATGGCCCACCCCGAACCAGGACTCGGTGAGTCACTTGTGCTCTGACTCCACTGAGCCCGCGGAGTGGCGCCTGGAGCCGGTGCTCTGCGGAGCTCCAGAGGAGAACTCTGTGTTGCTGGAGGAGACGATGCGTTAGACCACTTTCCATGTCAGCGGGTGACGTTATTAAACAAGGTATTTATCGATTTAGGGCTCGGCTTTTCTTACTCCTCCATGTTTTGGTCCAATGTGTTTTTATTGATTGTCAGAGAGGGGGAGGCAGAGGGAGATAGAAACATCAATGATGAGAAAGATGGATCGACTGTCTTCTGCACGCCCCGTACTGGTATGGAGCCCGCATCCCGGGCCTGCGCCCTGACCGGGAATCAGAAGGTGTTCTCCTGGCTCACAGGATGATGCTCAACCAACGCAGCCTCACCAGCTGGGCTTACTCATCCATTTTAGTGACAGGCTCCCTGACAACTTGGCTCACACACCAACTCCTGCTCCTCCGCAAAGACCTTGGGACACTTAGGGCATGTCTCTGGCCTGCTGCATGCAGTGACATAGTCCACCCGAACTACTCAGTCATAATACTTCTTTTTAAAAAGTCCTCATGGGAGGGTATAGTTTTCATTGATCTTTAGAGAGAGAGTGGAAGGGAGGACATAGGTGGAGGGAGGGAGAGAGAGAGGGAAACATGGATGTGAGAGAGATACGTCCACTGGTTGCCGCTCTCACAAACCCCAACCGTGGTTGTGGATCAATCCTGCAACCGAGGTATGTGCGCCTGACAGGAAAGCAAAGTTGTGCCCCTTTGGTCCTGTGATGCTATCAGCACTGAGCCACACGGGCAGGGCTCACTCATGATCCTTTTTATTTTTTTACAATTTCATTTTTAAAATATATTTTCCTGATTTTCCACAGAGAGGAAGGGAGAGGGATATAGAGCTAGAAATGTTAATGAGGGAGAATCATTGACCAGCTGCCTCCTGTACAACCCCTACCGGGGATGTGCCCGCAACCATGTACACACGCCCTTGACCGGAATTGAACCTGAGACCTTGCAGTCCACAGAGCGACGCTCTATCCACTGAGCCAAACCCGTTTCGAATCACTGCTGATTCTTGAACTTCTAACAGCCTCTACGGCAGGATGACTTGAACATAATGAAAATGCCTACCTCACCGAAACTAGTTTGGCTCAGTGGATAGAACATCAGCTTGTGGACTAAAAGGTCCTGGGTTCGATTCCGGTCAAGGGCATGTACCTTGGTTGCGGGCACATCCCCAGTGGGGGGTGTGCAGAAGGCAGCTGATCTGTGACTCTCTCTCATCGATGTTTCTAACTCTCTATCCCCCTTTTCTTCCTCTCTATAAAAAAATCAATAAAATGTATTTTAAAAAAAGAAAAGAAAAAAGAAAATGTCTACCTCTATTTCATACCCAAACACCCTCAAAATCAAGGATCATCGCAGCTTAGATCCCGACACATCCTCTCCTCTAGGTTTGCCCTTCACAACCTTCAAATTATAGTCTCATGAGAGAAGGCGAGTGGTCTGACTTCCTTAACTCGTCATGTACATGGATGAATAGAAGGGATTTCTCCCAGTTCTCACTGAGGATTCAAGTGCAGGGCAGCACCCCTGTTATTTCTGCCCCCACAGCACCACATGCTGGCCACAGCTCACACCAAAGGAGAAGGGACCCACTATTCAGTGCTGGTGCCCCAAGATGGTGTAGCATCTTCAGGGACCAAAGCAGCTTGAAGTGCAGGCCCTGCTCACAGAGGTTAAGGGCTCAGGCCCGTAATCTGTCAGGCCCGGTTCGGAACCCAGCTCCACCACTTGTCCTCTGGGCCAGTGCTTACCCTTGTCAAGCCTCACCTTCCCGGCTCTGAACAGGGGACAGGAAGCGTGCCCAGCTCACCCTGCAGTTAGACTCAAGGAGACGGATTAGGCGGGTCACCTACAGAAAGGCCGCTGAGCCCAGAAAGCACCATCGCGCGGCTGCTGTTACTAACATCAACCACAGACCTGCTCACTCATGGATCCAACCACAGCTGGATCTGTCAAGCAGTTCTTTCTCAGAAAGTGTTGCTAACTCAATTAGGCTGATTATAGCTTACTAATCAACTTAGCCAATCACAGGAGTTGACGTGATACATGTCAAAGAGTTTGAAGGGCCAGTATGAAAACCTGAGGCTACTGAACCCTCTAGTTAAAACAATGTCAATAAGTCAATAAGCTTCATGATCATTTACCTGCACGTGGGCGTTTCACCTGATTCGCCTCCAGAGAGGCTGGGAATGCAAGCACCAGTCCCCAGACAGTGGGTCCGGGAACGAACACTTCATTGCTGCATCTCGAGCCACACGGCAGGACCTGAAGTGGTGACAGCCCCTCAGAACGGCTGGTGCACCAGTCACGCTCACAGGGCGGCTTGTCCCCGGCCCTGGGTCCTGTCGGGTCCTGTAACGCCAGCCCCTGGGAGCGCACGAGTCTCAGGCCTGGCCCCGTCTTCAGAAAGTCCTAGTGTCCTTCAGCAAATTGCACTTTCCCAGGGCGCACGTTTGGCGGGTTTACAGGTGAACTAGAGGCCCGCTGCAGAAAATTCGTGCACAGGGGGCGGGGTGTCCCCCAGCCCAGCCTGCACCCTCTCCAATCTGAAGATGTTCAACTGCCTATCGGGATCAGGCCTAAATGGGCAGTTGGACATCCTTCTCACAATCCAGGATTGCTGGCTCCCAACTGCTTGCCTGCCTTCCTTCCTGATTGCCCCCAACTGCTTCTGCCTGCCAGCCTGATGACCCCCTAACCACTCCCCTGTGAGCCGGATTGATGCCTAACACTCACAACTGCTTTCCCCTGCAGGCTTCGGTCCCCCCCAACTGCCCTTTCCTGCAGGCCCAGTCACCCCCCAACTTCCCTCCTCTGCTGGCCTGGTCACGCCTAACTTCCCTCCCCTACAGTCTTCATTGCCCCCAACTGCCCTCCCTTGCAGACATGGTCGGTCCCTGCTACCGTCCCCTGCTGGCCTGATTGCCCACAACTGCCCTCCCTTGCAGACCTGGTCCCTCCCAACTGCCCTCCCCTGCTGGCCATCTTGTGGTGGCCATCTTGTGTCCACATGGGATCAGTCATCTTTGACTACAATGGGGCAGTCATTTTGAATGTTGGCATGAAGATCAATTTTCATATTATTCATTTATTAGATGAGAGGATTAGACAGGATGGAGGCCTGGTGAATGGGTGGGGGCCGGCTGGTTTTCCCTGAAGGGTGCCTCGGACCAGGGTGGTGGTTCCCTTGAGGTGTGAGGTGGCCTGGGCCAGGGGCCTTTTGTGGTTTGCATGCAGGCCACGACCCCTATCAACCCAAGAAGAGGTCCTAGTATCTGCTATTCATTTATCCTCTATAATGGAAACTTTGTAGCCTTGAGCAGAGCCAAGCCTCCTGCTCACTCTGTGGCTGCAACCATTTTTGCTGGGATTTATGCATCTTCTATAATTGAAACTTTGTAGGCATTAGCAGAAGCCAAGACCATGGCAGGCAGAAAGCTTGGTTTCCTCCATTGCCGGAGAAACCCAAGCCTTCTGCTCTCTCTGTGGCCGCAGCCACCTTGGTTGGGTTAATTTGCATACTCGATCCTGATAGGATGGTGGGCATGGCTTGTTGGTGTGGCAGAGATACAGACAATTTGCATATTACTCTTTAATTAGATAGAACAACCAATAAAATGATATTTCCAAGTGAATTTGAAAACAACCACATTTAATGTGATGGCTCTCTTCAGTAAGATGAACACCCCCCCCTCCACCACACCGCACCTCTATGAAACCAGGATGCAGTCGGGGCACTCTCCCAGTCACTGTCAGCACGTTAACAATGCTGACAAAACCGTCATTGCCACCACCCATTCATTTTCTTTTTATGAGCACGAAATGGGGCAGCTCACAGCTGCCAGCCTCTTAGGTTCCAGGAAACGCAAGCAGCACATGCAGTTAGAAAACCCCTGGCACCTCTGGCTCATGCCCGCCACAGTCCTAAATGCGCGCCCCCTGGTGGGAGGACTCAGGGCTGGGTCGGGGGGAGAGGAGAACCACACCTGCTTTTAGAGGCCCGGGAAGAGCAGAGCCCGAGCCTTGCCAAAGACCAGGCAGATGTCCATGACGTGTTACATGCGTGGGATCTCCCTGCAGAAATGGCTAGTCCAAGGCCTGGCAGAGACCAGGAACCCCACAAACATACTCTCCTGAGCTTGTCTCTGCGGTAACTGTCGGGAAATCCGCTCTGGATACTCGAGGACCCACCACAGTGTCCGTGATGGGGAGGCTTCTTATGCTGAAGGTACTAAATGGCTCTGGGACGAAACCACCACAACAGAGACGGGGGTTCACATTCTCTACCTGGGTGTCCACACACGTAAGGGGCCTGGCGTGGGTGGGTGTGTGCGGAGCACCTCTTTCAGCCTCCAAGCACACGTGTGCACACCCAGCTGGCTTCTCGATGCTTCTGCCCTGCCCACGAGGGAGGCCTGCCATCCTCCCCTTCACTGCCCTCCTGCAGCCAGGCCAGCGCCTCCTACCTTTTGGCAGGGGCTCACTGCCGGTGTCTCTGTCTTCCAGCCGGCCCGAGCCGGCTGGGGTGGCCTCCGGGGACCCGGGAGCGCTCTCTGCGGGTGACGTGGCTTGTCCTCTTGAGCCGTGTCTCTGGCGTTGGAAGAATCTGAGCATGGTTCTTAATCGACTTCTGTGCTTTCTCCTATTAGAAGCAGAGGTTCAGGACATGCCAACCCTCACTGCCCCTCCAGCCGGGAAAGTGGCCGTTAACTGGGGCTTCAGCACCAGGTTCCCACGAATGTGTGTCACCAGCACCATGACCATCGCATGTGGCCACAGGGCATGGGACACATTTGCAGTCATTCGCACAGACCCAGGGAGGGGAGAAGCGTTCCCGGTGGCAGAAACCCACACTAGCCTCTCGGGAACCAGGACTTCACATGCAGCCTCCACTCTGGGTCCCTGGGAGGCACCGGAACAGGTGCCCGGCTCATCTAGCTGTGCTGGCAATTGTGCATCCAAAGGCCATTTCCATAAGAGCAGGACCTCCTCATTTCCAGCTAGAGCTAATGGTACGTGGGACAGGCGGGCAGACTTTGCCCCTTCCCGGCACGGAGGAATTGGGGTGAGGGGGCAGGAGGGCAGGCCCAGTGGGCCATTTGGATGAAAAGGAGTGAACACTGGCCGGCGTGCCTCAGGGGTTAGAGCACTGGCGCGAACACCCAAGGGTCAAGGGTTTGATTCTGGGTCCAGGGCATGGACCTGGGTTACAGATTTATCCCTGGGCCCAGTGGGGGGTGTGGGCTGGCAACCTTCAATGTGTCTCTCTCATATTGAGGTCTCTCTCTCTCTCTTTCCCACCCCCAAGTGATGTTTAAAATAAATTAAAATAGCCCTAGCCAGTTGGGCTCAGTGGATAGAGTGATGGTCTCTGGACTGAAGGGTCCTGGGTTCCATTCTTGTCAAGGGCACATGCCCAGGTTGCAGGCTTAATTCCCCATATGGGATGTACAGGAGGCAGCCAATTAATGATTCTCTCTCACCATTGATGTTTCTCTCTCTCCCTTCCCCTCTGAAAACAATAAAAACGTTTTTCCAAATATATAGACTAGAGGCTCAGTGCACGAATTGGTGCATGGGTGGGTTTGGCCGGCCCAATCCGATACTGGGTCCCATCTGGCCTGGCCTGCCCGGAGGAGGGAATGCAGGCCGTTGGCTGGCTGTCCGCGTTTCCTGGTCAAAGTCCCGGTGAGGGCACAAGTTGCATATTAGCCTTTTATTATAGGGAATAAATAAAATGAAATAAAAATAAATGGAAGCAGTGAACTTAAAGGGTAATCATTGCAGCTAACTGCGAATAGCATTCTCTTGTCACAAGAAGAACCGCATCTGGTTCAATCCCCTGGCTCTGCAGCGGAGCAGCACTGTGCTTCCTCAGCTCCCTCCCTTTCCCCACTGATGCCTTGATGTGCTATCCACTCCAGGGCCGGGCAGAGGCTGAAAAATGCTGAGCTTCTGGGATGTCCACAGGAGGCCTTGCGGGATTCATGGTGATTTGACCTCAAGGCTGGGCTGGGGTAGGGGAAGGCCTGCTGGATTGAGCCTGGCAGTCTCAGGGACCAAGCTGGCCCCCCGCTGGGCTGCTGCTCTGCAGAAGGGTACGTGATGGTGAGCCACCCTGAGGCCCAGAGACTCCAGAGGAATGTAGGGAAGCCCAAGAGGGAAGCCTGAAAACCATGGGTGCTGGCCCGGGTATCCGGGCCACGCTTCCTTCCCCAAACAGAAACATGGCGTTCCAGGTCCTGAAACCTGGAGACACAGCCTGACAGTCCCACTTCACTGGCTCTAAACCACAGACTCCAGGCCCCTCCCACAGGCTCATGGCCAGCTGCATTCCCCATCCCTCCGAGGATGCCCCCGAGGGCGGGACAGAAAGAAACTCCATTCTTTCAGAGCTGGGAGGGACATACGCACAGGGGACCTGCCACAGAAGGGAAGGTGGGGGCCCACCGAACAGGCCCCTGCTCCATTTGGCTTTCCCCACTCCTGACAGAGCAGCTCTGTATTCTGAGTATAAGTTACCGCCACTGAGAACAACTCACATCCCGGCAGCAGGACTCTGAGCCTCTTTTGTTTGTGTCATTAGGTGGTCATCCTCCTCCTCCTCCGCATTTCCTGTAGGCTCAGTCATCAATGAGCCTCTGTAAAGAGCAGAGAAAGAGAAAACGATCTGGTTTTACATAAAATGTGTAAACTGACTTATCGGCCCGGGCTGGGACCTGGCCCACAAGGGCCGGCATTTCCCTGGGACTCAGGCATCACGGAGCTCATGACCGTCATGCTCGCCACGTGAAAATACAGGGATGAAGCAAGTGGCGTGGGCCCACCGAACTGGCCCCTGCTCCAGGTGGCTTTCCCCACTCGTGACAGAGCAGCTCTGTATTCTGAGTATAAGTTACCGCCACTGAGAACAACTCACATCCCGGCAGCAGGACTCTGGGCCTCTTTTGTTTGTGTCATTAGGTGGTCATCCTCCTCCTCCTCCGCATTTCCTGTAGGCTCAGTCATCAATGAGCCTCTGTAAAGAGCAGAGAAAGAGAAAACGATCTGGTTTTACATAAAATGTGTAAACTGACTTATCGGCCTGGGCTGGGACCTGGCCCACAAGGGCCGGCATTTCCCTGGGACTCAGGCATCACGGAGCTCATGACCGTCATGCTCGCCACGTGAAAATACAGGGATGAAGCAAGTGGCGTGGGCCCACCAAACAGGCCCCTGCTCCATTTGGCTTTGCCCACTCGTGACAGAGCAGCTCTGTATTCTGAGTATAAGTTACCGCCACTGAGAACAACTCACATCCCGGCAGCAGGACTCTGGGCCTCTTTTGTTTGTGTCATTAGGTGGTCATCCTCCTCCTCCTCCGCATTTCCTGTAGGTTCTGTCATCAATGAGCCTCTGTAAAGAGCAGAGAAAGAGAAAACGATCTGGTTTTACATAAAATGTGTAAACTGACTTATCGGCCCGGGCTGGGACCTGGCCCACAAGGGCCGGCATTTCCCTGGGACCAGACATCACGGAGCTCATGACCGTCATGCTCGCCACGTGGGAATATGGGGATGGAAGTACATGGTGTGGGCCTGGGAACCTAACACTTGAGGAGACCTGCTAAAGCCCCAAGGATCAGGCTGTACCTCATCTCATGAGAGCAAGGCCCGAACCATGTGAAACTCAGGATCACAAATCCGTGGGCTTTGATAGCTCACACCCCGGTTTCCTTCCTGGAAAATGAGTCCCCGGGTTTGAGGCAGCAGCTAAGGCTCATTTGGCCAAAAGGCTGCTCAGGTCCCTCCTAATTCTGGGCTTTTCTGAGAGCTCACCGTAAAGTATCAGAGTGAAAAGTGATGACTCACAAACCGCTGGGCCTAGGCCCACAGAACCCCTGGGTTCCCAGCGCCCTTGGCTCAGCATCTGCTCTTTCAGTCTGTATTCTTCTCCTCCCACAGTCGTGCTCCTCGGCCTTATGCTAGAGTGCTTCCCTGTCTGCTTTGACCGACCCCTACCATGAGGCGCACAATCTCACGGAGCGCAGGCCCCGCAACCCTCCCTGGGCTGGGAGGACTCCCCTCGGAGAAGCTCAGGAAGCCAGCCAACTCCCTGGCCTCCTGCAGACACTGTCTAATGCAAACCATCACCACATCATCCCCTGGGTACCAAAGCCCGACGCTTCCAGTTGGCACCTGCCCAACCTCCGCTGGTCATTTGTACCCACTGCGTTACAGAGAGCCAACTCAGGCCACAGTCATTTCTACCCCAAACTACAATGTGGCTTTCCAGGTAAGCCATCCTGAGTGGATGGCGAGCCGGCTGGAGCTGAGCTGAAGAATCCGGGAGAACGGTGAAGCAGCACCCTGACCCCGGGGGGCTGGGACAGGACCCCGTGGTCACTGTGACCTTGTCCCTGTCCCTCAGGGCCAGCCATACCCCACCACAAGGAAGGACAGTCCAGCAGCACTAGGACCGAGGGGTGAAGGTCACCCTGGGCCCACCAGATGCCTCTCCGGTTACTTGACTTCCAACCACAAGGTTCCCAGCACCAAGCCTCTCCCTCCTGTCTCATTTCAGGCAGCTCCCTTGGCCTCTAGACCATAAACACTCACTCCTAGTAAATCCCACTCCTTAGCGAGGCATGGACGCCTTCCACATCTCATTGCCCCCTGCTCCAGCCTTCCTTCCTGCCACTGCGTGCGCCTTTCCTGCACCCAGACCACTCCTGCTCCATCTTCACGCCCCGCCCCCCATCCCGCCCCACTGGCTGGCCCTGGCTCTATCTGGGTCAGCAGCAGAACCCCGATGCTCACCACCATGCTTCTTTCTACACCTCCATGGAGCTCCTCACCATCTGTCTGCTGTGCACACACTCTGCTCATATCCCATCACCCCTGCTGGTGCGTGGCCACCGGGTCACAGGTCCTGTGCCCCTCGCAGGGCCTACGCCACAGTCAGGTCCGTGTCATGTCAGCAGAGGGAGGACAATCACGGCGCACCCACAACTCCCTCTCCAGTTCTTTCGGGGGAAGTCAGACACAGAAAGAGCTCATCCCGTGATCCTGGATCTCTCCCCTAGGTGCCTCTCTTCACCTCTCATTTTTTAAATGGAGCTTAACTCAAAAGCAGAGGAAGAAGGAGATGGCAGTGGGCCATGTCTTGGAAGCCAGCAAAATGCAACCACCCCTCCTTGCAGAAATCTAGTCCCATTCCTGGGAAAGGAGAGGCGGGGGCGCTGGGAAGATGGTCTGTCCCCTTGCCCTGCCCTGGGGACGCCAGTACACCAGAGGGCTCTCTGCCTTGAATGTGGAGGCTGTGTGTGGAGCGGGAAGCCAGGAGCCGTGGAGACAGGCGTCGGTCACCCCACCCCCTTACTTATTCTGAGGCCAGGTGCCAGCATGCTCTTCCAGGAGAGTCTTGTTCAGCTGTTTCAGTGTGTTAGTTTGACTCTGGGCTTGACTTCTTTCCTCCTCCAACTCCTTAGTCAAGAGGGTGAGCGACTGAAACAGAGATCAACAATGTGTCCTCCACCAAGGCCCCTGTGGCTCCACTGCTGGGAAACTGCTCCCAGAGAAGAAAGGCCACGTGCACAAGAGGGCCTTTTCGGTAGGAGCCACACCTGTCCTCAGGACCAACACAGCCAGTGACATGGGGAGGACAAGTGCACTGGCCCATCGGGCGGCCACTGCCCACGTGTGGCCGCTCAGCACTGAAACGCAGCCAGTCTGAGGTGAGAGGCGCCTAAGTGCAAAATGTACAGCACGTTCTGGGGACTTCACAGCCAATTTCAAAAGAAATGTAAACGATCTCATTAATAAGCTGCCCGGCAGGTGTGGGTCAGTGGGTGGAGCGGCCTCCCAGGCAGCAGCAGTTCACTGGTGAGATGCCTATTCAAGCAACACGCCCAGGAGGAGCGGTCGATCCCCAGGAGGGGGCGTGCAGGAGGAAGCCATCACAGATTCTCTCTCATCCCTGATGTTTCCATCCCTCTCGCCCTCTCCCTTCCTCTCTCTGACATCAATAAAACAAATGACGGGCTGGATAGGAATTTCAGGCTGAGGTGGTTCAACTCCTGATCCCGAATAACACCCAGTGGGAGGGGCAGGAAAGCCCAAGCTTTGGCTTCAATCAAATGGAGTCCAGACCCACTGCCTCCGAGGTCTGAGGACGGGCCCCCCAGGTCACAAAGGCATCTCGAGAATTCAATGTGATGACACGGGAGCACAGAGCACAGAGCTCAGCCCAGAGGACAGAGAAAACGGCACTTGGCTATTTCCATGCATGGCCCCGACCCTGCAAAAGCAAAGGTCAAGCCCTAACCAGTTTAGTGCAGTGGATAGAGCATCGGACCTCAGACTAAAGGGCCCTGGGTTCCTTTCCGGTTAAGGGCATATGCCAAGGGGGTGGGAGGTATCCCCCACTGGGGTGGTGTAGAAGGCAGCTGAATGATGCTTCCCTGTCATCATTGATGTTTCTATCTCTTTCTCCCTCTCCCTTGTTCTCTCTCAAATCAATAAAAATGTGCTTAAAAAAAGAAAACAGCAAAGGTCCGCTGAAAGGTCTTTTCTGACACATCCCCACCAGCCAAGGTGCTTGTGCACGTTAAATGCCTCTGGCTGCCTCCCGGCCTCTGGGTGACATTCACACACAGTGTTTGGGCACAGACGCCAATGAGGACCCATGCGGACCTGGCTGAGCCCCCGGCTGTCAGCGCAGGGCTCAGGCCTGGTGTCCTGAGGCCCACCAGCCCCGGGTCTCACCTGGCACTGGGCACTGAGCTTTGGTAAATTGATTTCTTTGGATCGTTGCTCCAACATCATCTTGTGGTACAAGTTATGAAAGCTCTGGATACTCTGCTGCTCGTTCTCTATGGAAGCCTGCAGTTCCTGGTTCTTGGTGAGCAGCTCCTCCTGCTCTGCCTGCAGCTGCTCAGTCCAGGAGGTCAGTCTGTGGGTGGAGAGCCACAGGGCCCAGGGCTGAGGAGCACTCCCAGCCTTGGTCCCAGGTGTGCGCCTCCATCACACCCACCGCCTCTCTGGGCCTCAGGGTGTCCCCTGTAAATGAGTGCTGAGCACAGTCAGTGCTTCTCCAACTGTGTCCGCTGGGGTTCTATGTGGCCACCCACTTGCCCCCTGTGGGCTGGGGACACAGGACAGGCAGGCTCGGACACTTCAACAGAGCAGCCTGTGACAGCCCTTCCTATGGAAGGCTCTGCAGAGCCGCCTCCTTAGAAAACGGTTCTTGCACTGAAACACTTTTGGAAAACATGGAATCAGTACATCTTTGCTCTGAAACTGTCTTTGCCCAGGCCAAGTCCCTTTCTGATTTCAACTCCTGACACAAATAAACTGTGAGATTCTGGAGCATTATGTAAAGCCACTGACATTAGCATTATCATCATCATCGTCATAATTACCCGACTAGCTTTCTGGGGCAAAAGGTTATACCTGAAATCTCAATGCCCAGAGGCTCACAGACTCAATGTGAACACAGAGGGCCCCTGTTCAGCCCACACAGCTTTGTTATTTAATTTGAATTAAGTAGTTATTCAATGTATTTTTTTATTTTTTAAATATATTTTATTGAGTTTTCACAGAGAGGAAAGGAGAGGGATAGAGGGTTAGAAACATCGATGAGAGAGAATCATCGATCAGCTGCCTCTTGCACACCTCCTACTGGGGATGTGCCCGCAACCCAGGTACATGCCCTTGACAGGAATCGAACCCGGGACCTTTCAGTCCACAGGGTACGCTCTATCCACTGAGCCAAACCCGTTTTGGCAGTAATTCAACATTTTAAAATGTCAAGTTTCACGTCAACTCTCAGCTATCGCCCTTCTCGGAGGGTGGGAGAAAGCATAAAGCAAAGGCCCCGGCAGGTGTGGCTCCGCAGAGACAGCGTCCGCCTGTGTTCGGAACCGCCTCGGGTTGGATTCCCAGTCAGGGCCATGCACCTGGCGGTGGGATTGCTCTGTGGCATAGAGGGGTGTGTGCAGTAGGCATCCAGGAGAAGTGTCTCTCGCATCGCTGTTTCTCTCTCGCCCGCTCCCGTCCTTCCTTTCACTCTCTCTGAAGGGCAGTGCAAAATTATCCTGAGATGAGGATTAATTTTTTGTTAAAAAGCAGAAACAAAAGGATGACCCGGCAGCGCGGGTCTGCCTCTAGCTGACAGCCTTCAGAGGGTGTGCATTCTCCAGGAGGCCTGCCTCCGGCTGACACTTCTCCCCCACCTGCTGGACCGCCCCCCCCCCCCCCCAGGCACCTGAGTTTGTAGCCCCAACATCTATTCAAACAAGGCTGCGCAAAGGAAGGCTTCCTGTGGTCACGCCTCTGGGTTGAGATAAGACCTGGATTTGAATCCTGACTGGCCACTACCCCCAGGATTGACCCAAACATCTTAGTTACTCTCTCAGAGCCCCTTTCCTTATCTTTATGGGGAAAAAAGGATAATAGAGCAGTCAATTCTCACGATTCACAGGATAATGTCCTATGAAGCCACTGTGAGCACTGAGTCAGTGTAATTGCAACTGTCCCAACTATTCCTGGAGTCTCTGGCCACGTTTTTGTCAACCAATCAAGACCTAACGACGCTTTGGTTACTATGCTCACAGCCAACAGCACCATACCTCGGGCCTGAAGGACACTCAGGTGCCACTCGGATATTTTCCCGAAAGGCCCAGCGCAGCTTGCTCTTGGGGACACTAGACAGCCCTCAGCACTCCATTCGGGGCCATTTCACACGGCGACATCGCCACCGTAAAGCACGAAAATAGAGCACACGGTCCTCAATGGAGCGCGGAAGGGACGCTCGTTTGCAGTGTGAGAGCTGAAACAGGCAGGAGTCAGAGGCCTGTTCAACCGCAGCTGCAAATGTGCACGTCAGGCAACCCCCGTGTCTCCCCCTCTGGACAGGCCCCTGAGAGGCCACGGGGACCGATGTGGGGGCGACAACGCATGTCAGCCAGGAGGTGAATTCACCCACAGGGAACGCGAGAATGACGCGGAGCGAGCACACGTCCTTCCCGGGATCGCAGGTGTGAGAGGATGAAGGTGCCCATGCCCGACACCATCATCACCATCGTCATGTGGGATGGGCGGCCCTCCAACCCTGGACCACGCTCCATCCCAGTTGTCACTAGACCTTCCATCCCAGCCACCAGCTGGAGGCCCTTCCCCCGAGACCATCAGCTGTGACCCTAACGGGGTGGGAAGGGGTGGGGGGGTGCAGGGATAAGAGTGCACCTTAATCAGGGGCCTCACTGGAGCTGGGCTCAGGGGGCGCTCAGAGAGCTGGTGGGAATGAAACCCAGCAGATGCCGCTGCAGGGCAGAGGCAGTTACCTGGCCACCTCCTGCTGCAGCCTCTCATTTTCCAGGGTGACCAGGACATTGTTCTCCTGCTCCCGCAGCAGGGCCTCCTGGACTTCAGTCAGCTGCTTCTGCTCTCCCAGCTCCTCAAGCTGCTTCTCCACGGTCCCCTGCTGGTTCAGGGGGAAAAGGTGAGGATGCCTCCCTGGGTGCAGGCCCCGGGAAGCCACTCACTCCCCATCCCTGCACCCCAACACCCAGTGAGGGGCCAAGAGCAGGGCAAGTGCAGACCCCAAAGGAGCAGGGACCCTCGGGGCAGGCAGCACCCAGCCGTGCTGAGTGCGGTTCTCCCAGCGCTTAAGGAACTCTGCTGGGACGGCCCAGGACATGAAGGGACCATCACATGGGGCTACGTGAGTCCCGTGTGCTCTCCACACATGGGAACTTTAGGGCAAATGGATCAGCTCCTTGGCTGCCCTCTTTGACCACATTTAAAACCCTATTTTTTTAAAGCACATGGAACCTCAGTAAGGATGCAGAATACCTGGACAACACTAACATCTAATTTTCCCTGATATGGACAGAACAACCATCCACCCTGCACAGCCAGCAGCACCTCCTTCTCGGGCCCCCAGTCCTGTCCATCAACAGCAAGATGGCCAGTGTCCCGGGGAGGCAATACCTGCCCCGGGGCCCTGCCGTGGCTGAGAATTGCTGTTCTGAGCTGCAGCTGAGCGAGGAAACTGGTCACTAGGAATCACTGATCAATGACCAGGACACGGTTGTGATCCTGGACCCTCCCTCTGGCAGGCAGGGGCGCCAGGGGCCTGCGCTCTGAGTGCCTACCTGCAGGGACCTGGGCAGCATCTGCTTTTCTACGAGTTTGAACAGCTTTTCTTTGAGGCTGCTCAAGCGATGGTTGGTGGCCTTCTCATTCTGTAGTTGGATCCCCAACTCTGCCACCTATAAGACAAAGACCCAGCCCGTGCCAGTCAGGTCACAAAGTGAACTTGGCTTTAAAGCAAACCGCACACCTGTCACCCCCTGACACACCCGGCCTCCAGCTGGCCCATATGTTCCGGACACACACACACACATACACACTCCGTTACCTGCCCCCGGAGCTGCAAGTTCTCCTTCATCAGCTCCTCATACTTGCTGTTGCTCTCCTGCAGGGCCTGGGTATCGCCCTGCAGCTCCAGGACTGTGTCCTGAGGGGCCTGGGAATTTTGCCCCAGTGCCAGGGTCGCGCTGGAGGCTGAAGAACAAAGTGGAGTGAGAGCCCCGATTCCAGGGCCTCCGCTCCCCTCTTGACTCCGCCTCGAGACGGTCATTCCTCAGAGAGGGCCATCCCCCTGAAGCCTAGGTCTGAAGACCGGAGACGGCCAGCCAGATGCCCTCTGTTGTTCACAGGGTGCTGACGCTGTGGGTTGTGGCCCATCTGCTGGCTCCTCTTGGGTCCATTGGGGAGCCACCCAGAGTTTAAGAAGAAAGCAGGTGACCGTGGACAGGCCAATACAAAAGTTCAAGATGCTGGAAATGCTGGAACCACTTTTTGCCAAGTTCCAACCTGACCGTCAAGTCAGGATTTCAGACACTCACAGAGAAGGCAAACACATGCTTGGTCTCTGCCAACCCTCAGAGTGGGGTGTTGGGTAGCTCAGCTGGGAGTGTGGGGGGCACGAAAATTGACCAGTATGTCTGTGGGAGGTAGAGCCTCTGGGCCATGTGTGCCCAGAACTTACCACCCCTGGGTAAGGCCCTTGAAGAGGAGGGGTCCCTGAGCAGCAAGCCCCTGCCCAGGGAGACAGAGCAGACTGTACCCATCTGCCCGATGAGGAAAGGAACGAAGGAAATCAGCCCAGGCTTCTGTGATAGTGCAGGTTAGTGACCGCTCGGGAAGGTGCCTGCCATCCAGAGCGCTCAGTCCCCCACACACAGCTGTAAGACAGCC